CGACAAGTCACCAAACATACACCTACAGTCAAGCAGTCACCAAACAGTCACAAGTCACCAAACATACACCTACAGTCAAACAGTCACTAAACAGTCACCAAACAGTCACAAGTCACCAAACATACACCTACAGTCAAGCAGTCACCAAACAGTCACAAGTCACCAAACATACACCTACAGTCAAACAGTCACTAAACAGTCACCAAAAAGCCATCCAAATTTGAACAGTCACCAGACAGTAAAACAGTCACAAATCATCCACCTACAGCCAAACAGTCACCAAACAGCCACTAGTCACCCAACAGCCACCTACTGTAAAACAGCCACCAAACAGTCAACAAACAATCACCAAACAGCCATCTAGAGACAGTCACCAAACAGTAAAACAGTCAAACATCCAGCTACAGTGAAATAGTCACTAAACAGCCATCTACAGTCAGTCACCAAACAGTCACCAAGAGTCACCAGACAGCAACATAATATTTACAAAACAGCCACCTACAGTGAAACATTTACCAAACAGTCACCAAACCACTGAACAGTCACTAATCAGTAACCTACAGTCAAAAAAATCACAAAACAGTCAGTAAACAGTGACCAAACAGCCACCTACAGTCAAACAGTCAGGCATATAAAGTCAAACAGCAACCAAACAGTCAATTAAGAGTCACCAAACCACTAAACAGTCACTAGTCAGCCACCTGCAGTAAAACAGTCAGTTAACAGTCAGTAAACAGTCACCAAAAAACCACCTACAGTCAAACAGTCACCAGTCAGTAAACAATCACCAAGCAGTCATCTAAAGTCAGTCACCAAACAGTAAAACAGTCATGAAACAGTTACGTACAGTCAAAAGTCACAAAACAGGCACCACCAGTGAAACAGTCACCAAACAATCAACAGTCTTTAAGCAGTCACTAGTAAGGTTTGGGCCATTGGACGAGTATCGACGTTAGACTCAACCTTTCAACTATCGTTTTTTTCTTTGTTGGACCTGTTGGTTAAAAAAAAATAATAAAATAAAATAATACATTTTAAAATTGCAGTTTTAATGCTACACACTAACTCCTTCAGAAAGGAAGAACTGATCCAGACCAGACTAGCTGGTTTTTTTTCTTCTTTTCTTTCTTTTTTTAAGATCTGAACCAGGTTAAACAAACTCGGATTTAAATCCTCCGCTCTGAATTGTCCTAGCCTAAATTTGGAAACTCTGAGTTTTCAGTTTCATAAAAGCTGCTGTGAGTTAGTTTAATCAACTCTAAGTAGATCCACTCAGAGTTGAACGTGTGAGTAACAAGTATGAAAAGCCATTATCCATGGAGCACGCATTTGATGAGTCACCATGACAACAGGAAGTTTCAATTTCACCCCCTGGAACTAAAGAATTTAATGCAGGACTGAAAAAAAAAAAAGAAGAATGTGTTTAAAACCTGCACCACAGGGAAGGAAAGGGCGCCTGAAAAAAAAAGACAGAGAAACAATGCTACAGCTGCAATGGAGAGGAAGATGGCGAAGGAGAAGATAGTTGCTCGGGTTAAAGGAATAGTACACCCAAAACATGATTAGCCTTCATTTTCTACTCACCCCCATGCTGAACAACAC